TACAAATCAAATAAAATAATTAGATATTTAAGAATTTTTTTAGATAGCAAAGGCTCTATTAAACCTACACTAGAAAAAATCTTTAACAAAACCTCTCAATTTATTTATATTATCCAATATAAAAAACTTCTTTCTATACAAATATCCTGTCTGTTTAATACTATCCTAGTACTATTAATAAAATACTTACTTTAAATATGCTTCTTTTCAAAAAATAAATTTCATCAACTATCAAGTCTTTTAACAAAGTGCACTAAACACATATTCTATTTATCTACTAATACAAACAACAATATATTTACCAACCCACAAATACTCAATATTTTAATACTTAACAAACTTATATTACAAGTTAGTAGTAGCAACATAGAAAGATGTTTTAATACCAATACACTTCTGAATCAAATCTCTATATATTGGATTAAAAATTGGCTCTTTAAAATATGGAAACCCTTAATAACTTAGAATACAATTCTAACAAACTATAAGAAATTTATTAACTTTACTATAATATCTCAACTCTATTATTTATACAAAAATAATATTTCTATAAATAATACTCATCTAAATCAACTAATAACTCACAAACAAATCAACCAAATAAACAATATTTATAACTTTATTACATCTTCTAACAACTCAACAACTCTAAATCTTAAAAACAATAAAATTCTCTTTTTGAAAAAACTACTTACAGCTAACAACTATAACCTACTTTCTTAGAAAAACATGTATTTTAGAACTCTTAAATCTTTATAAGATCCTATTTCAAAATAGTTTAAAATACTCTTAAATCAAATTTTCTATTACCTTATATTATATATATGGCCCAACCTTCAACTCCAATCTATTAATCTATTTTTAAATATATTAAATCTTATTACATCCCATTCTTTAGCTTCGAAAAACACATGGTCACTCTACATCTTATCATCAGATTAGCATATTGGCAAAATAACTAATACATCTAACTCCTAAATACTTTTCCAAAAATATTAAATTATTAACTCAACAACTAACTTAACTCATATTTCATCTATATCTACAATGTTTCAAATAAATTATAAACAAACTATTAATCTAAAATGCAAAATACAAAAAAGAAAACAATACTTTGAACTTAATATAAATGTTCAAGAAATTTAAGCTCTATAAAATATTTATACAGATCTATATAAGTCTGCTCCAAAATCTCTACTATCTCTTTTATTTTCTTTTCCAGAATTCTTGCTAATACAAAACACAATATCTGATTCTATATACCAAAACTAATTCACAAACCTTTATAAAAAATTAGTATCTATTAACTTAGCTAACTTACATTTTTATACAGATGCCTCTATATTTAATTCACAAACACACAATATTTTTATTAGCATTGTATAAATTTTAGAAAATGGCATACAGATCAAATTTAATAATTTTATAACTTATGCACCAAACTCTATATAAGCAAAACTAGCAGTACTTATTTTTTTGTTTCTTATCTTACCTATAAACTATCAAATTCATATTTATCTTAATAATTTATCTATTATACAAAGTTTTACAAACTTAATACTCTATTAACATAACTTTCAAACTAAACAAAACAATTAGGATATTATTCATATTCTAAATTATCTTTTTTTTTTTTTTTTTTTTTTTGCTTACACTAAGGTCTTTTAGTTATGGCGGCTACTGCCTTTATTGTGAATTCAATTATGATTACATAACTTGTACAAGGTTACCCTTATACTACACTAGCAGATAGCAACACAAGCTTCTGTACACCTAATTAAATGCTGTCTAACCTAACCTTGACCTCCCTGTCTGTACGTTTGTCAGGCCGTTACATATTTCAGAGTATGTCACCTGACTATAGAGCTCCAGAGGGCCTCCCTGCTAACTAACTACCCACATTTAATCTTTGCTAACAGGGCTTTGCCCTTGCAGAGTTCACCCAGACCCTAGCACTGACTTCACAGCATATCCCTAGTACTTTAGTATACTCCTATTTCTGACCTCAAACTCCCAATTCAGATAGCCTGGTAGGACTGTGACCTGTCCCTGGTACCTCAGGATCTGCCCCCCAAGGTCCTTTTTCTCCGGTTTGAGTCTTCCAGTGGCCTGGTTGGTAGTACCTCTCACCAAGGTTCTTGTTTGTTCGATTTCTTCCACATTGGTATCCGTTTCCTAGGTCTAGCCTTTACAGTAGTACTGTTAAAGATCTGTGTTACCTCTCTACTCAGGTCTTCCCAAGTGGGCTTCGGTTATCCCAGTTCACAAATTTACATGGCTACAGATGCCCCATGACCTGTCAGTTATCTGGTATGACTGTGTTACAGGTACTGATCCCAACTGATCGATAGATAGCTGTTGCTGTATTACTGGTTTCAAGGACTTATCTTGTGTTTGCACCACCCAATGCTGGTTTGCATTCCTCTGTGTAACTCCAACGTTGCACAGATGCCCGTATTTACTGATGTAACATAGATGATTTTTCTAAATTTTTGCTGTCAGTGGGTTTTGAACTCCTAACCTACCACTTGGAGGTTGACAACTTATCCACTTTACTAAGTTGCCATACCCCTTCTAAATTATCTAATTAAACTCAAAAACATTAACTACACTATACACAAAATCAAAGCATATTCAAACAATACTTTATATAACATAGTCAACATCTTAGCTAAATATAGTACTAAAAAAACTGAACTAAAATTTAATCATAACTATTTCTATTTACTTATCTTTTTTATTTGAAAAGAAATATCAATTATATACAAACTTTGTAAATTTTGCAAAAACCTTTTTTCTATCTAAATATTTACCAAACACCTTCAACTTAAACTATTATAAAACTTTTCTACTAACATCTTACTATTTACTAAAATTATTAACTTTTAAAATTCTAATCCAAAACTTTATTTTATTAGAAATAAAATACTTTTGAATAACTTACTAACAATATTAAATTTAAATATTTGCTATCCTTTACTATACTTAATCTTAAATTGCTTATATTGTAATTAATATAAAAATACTGAATACTTACTTCAATGTTCACTTTACTTTTTCAATTCATATAACATACTTATCAATAAAATTACCAATATCTCAAACTCTTTAAGTTTCTCAGAAGCTTCATTATATATAATAATACAAATTTTAAATTCACAAAACCTTTTTTTAAATTCTAACATATATAATACAATACTTCTACTTATTCAGGATACAATAACTTTTAACCAATATGAACAGCTTTAACTAACTTTAAAAAAACTAACTAATAACTTTCTTATTTCCTTATCAAATTCTTTACTTAACTGATTTAAATCTACTATTTGACAAACTCAAAACATTAAATAACATGAATAGGAATTAATATAAGAAATTACTGCCTTTATTAAAAGAAAAAATAATGCTCAACTATCTATTATACAAACTCCTAATTCAAAAACAATATATTTATATTTAACACTAATATAGACCAATTTATTCTTAAAACTCTTTTCTAAAATTTTACTATATATATTTGTTTTTATTAACTAAAACAATCTTAAGGATTCTTTTTACTCTCCTCTATAGTTAATAATACAATAGTTAACTTAACTAAAACAAAAAAAACTAAAGGTTAATATTATACTAGATGTACTAAAATTGATTTTTGAACTATTTAATGATTTAAAGATCATATTTCTTTTTTTTATATTATTATTCAAACCCAAATCTAGGTAAGCCTTGACCATTTTTATAGATTTAGGTCACAGATAATATGACTGAGTCTTTATGCTTTATATGTAATTTAAAAACAGGTTTTTTTTTATAAAAACTTCAATTGAATTTCAATAAAGTTAAAGGCATAACCTTATCATTAATATTTTTTTTTTTTTTTAAATATTAATAGTGAGGCCATGCCTTTAACTTTATTGAAATTCAATTGAAGTTTTTATAAAGAAAAGCTTGCTTTTAAATTACATATGAAGAATAAAGACTCAGACATATAATCTGCGACCTAAATCTACAAGAATGACCAAGACTCACCTAGATTTGGGTGTTAGTAATAATATATGAGAGAGGAATATGATATTTAATCCATTGGATAGTCCAAAGATCAATTCTAGTAATAATTTGTAATATTGAGATAGGAGGTAATGATAAATGAGAAGGAGAATTGCCTTACCATTAATATTTAAAAAAAAAAGAATTTAAATTAACTAAAGATATAGACAAAACCTTATCTTAATACAAAAAAAAAACATTTGAATTAATAAGTTTTGTAATTCATGCAGTGCAGAACAGTTAAAAATATTCAATTTATACATATAGGCATCATTATTTTTGATACTTATATAATTAATTCTGATTAGCTAATTTTTGTGTAATTAATTTTAATTGGTTAAAAATATATATAGGTTTTCTTTTTTTTTAAATTTAATGCCAATTTCGCTATGCTAAATTAATAATGTTATATTAATCGATTTAAATATAACGTAAATGCTGTTGCTATTTTGATTCTATTACAGTACTAATCGGACTATCAAATGGATCGGAAACGGTCGGCGATCACGAGACACTAACCTATCTCTGTGACTGAAAACATGTCTAAATATGTCGAGTAAGTGTTCAACCGAAAATTTAATAATATTGAACGTGTTGACATTTATAGTGCTAAAATTATCAATGGAACAAGTATAACATGTAACATGTTCTTTATATAAGTATATATCGATATAATCATAGTTTAGGCTAATTTGTTAATTCTGGTCAAATAGTTATTATGCAGCTAACGCCTGTTAATCTGAGTCACAACATATACATATATTGTAACGCAAGTTTTTTTATAAATGTAATTTGTTCAAAATTTCGCCACAAATTTTAAAAACATCCAATTAGCACATACAGTAAATTTCGATCACCAAATTATCACCTGACCTTACTACATATGTTCGTAAACAATTAATGAAGGAATTGTTCTTATTCTTCCTAAGGTTTAATTGCAAAAAAAACATAGCGCTATGGCGGAACCAACGACACAAGCTGTTATTGACCAGAATGTCCTAAATGCATCAGCTTCTTCAGCTGCTGTAGCAACCCACCTTCAAACGCAACAACAAATGCTGCAACAACAGCAGAACCAAGCGTTTATGACACAGGTTTGCGAAGAAGTTACATAATGTTTATTTTTACAAAGATAATTTTTCTCTAAATTTAAGTACATTGATAATTTAAAATCAGTTCTGGAATAAACAAATTATGGTAGCAGAGCAGTTTGAAAGTGATTTCAAAAATCATCCATTACCCCTTGCAAGAATTAAAAAAGTCATGAAAAGTGATCAAGACGTTAAGGTGAGTTTTGCAAATAATTATTAAAGTATTATGGTCACATTATAGCATATTGAATTGACTTTTATGAGCTTGCTTTATAATCTGATTGCAGATGATTAGCGCTGAGGTTGGTTTTTTCTTAATCGAATAATTTTGTATGCACCCAGATTATATGCTTTAATTATTATTATAAAAATTATAGGCACCCATTTTATTTTCAAAAGCCTGTGAAATCTTTATATCCGAAATCACGATGCGAGCGTGGACTCATGCTGAAGAAAATAAACGTCGTACCTTGCAACGTAGTGATGTCGCTTCAGCAGTGAGCAGATCTGACCAATTTGATTTCTTGATCGATATCGTTCCAAGAGAGGAAGTTCCAAAATCTGTAAATAGGAGGCCAAAGGAGGAACCTGTAGGGGTTAATGCTTTTTGATATATATTGCATTTTAAAAAAAATTGTTTTGTTGCTTTTTATTTTGTTCGTTTCAACAAAGAATGCATTTATTCATTTTTTTTTAAATCTTGATTTATTAAAAAAAAAAACAAAAAAAAAACAAAAAAAACGGAAATAGATGGTGGCTGGGTGGCGTAGTTAGTCGCGTAACGCTGAAAATCCAGCGGAGCGCTAAATTAATAGCGAAACGCCAAAATTTCAGCGTAGTCGCTAGAAAACAGCGTAACGCTCTAAAGTTCTCGAAATGTATATAAGCACCTAAAATTCAATAAAGAAAAGAACAACGTTTTCGTCCACCATTAAAAATAAAAAGTAATAATAAAATATTCACTTATCTGAATTTCCCTTAAGATTTTATCTTTGAATTTGACTTGTAGCTTTAATAAACCTATCGAGACTCAATTCGACGGACTGAATTGACTTGTAACTTTAATTCTTGAAAGTTTGTAGAATCAAATATTGTTATTCATGATACTACTTGTGTAAACTGTGATAGAGAACGTTCTTGTTAACCCATCATGTGAACTTAAAGTTATCACCGATATCACTTGATAATTATCTGCTTTAATATTAGGGGATTGCTACAGACACATCTTATCGACACAGCAAATGGCCAGCACTAACCTTAACGACATAATATGACCGCATTATAGTTAAGGTTAGTGTTAGAATATGGCAGAATTAGGGGAATTATATCACGTGCTGCTGTGTCCGTAGCAAT